GGTCTTAGGAGCTCAGAGTGTGACTCCAAATTAAAGACAGAATTTATGAGTCAAAAAAGATAAGACTGGCCCATTCCCAATATTCACAGTTCATTAGTGTATAATGAGCCCGCAGTCAAGGGAGAGCAGATGGCTAGTTTAGGCCACATTTATTATCTGCAAAGCCAAGACCCAGACCAGAACTATTAATTTGCCAATTTCTATCAAAGATGTCATAATTCCGCCAGTCACTTATGAGATCTACCACCCTTACAGTGTCTCAATCTCAACGACCAATCAAAAAGCTCGCTGTGTCTTCCTTTTGACCATATCTCATATCTGTCATCTCCTTTCCTTTCCAAGTACCCTGGGACTGTTCCAGGTCACTGTTACCCTCATGAAATCATCCTGATCTTGGCTGCAGACCAGTTTATTATGCCCCTTGTCCTCCATCACCTTCCACTGACTGACCTATACCATCCAACTCTTCCTCTATCCACCTTCCTCCAATTCAAGCCACACATGGGTATCAGGGTAAACCTTCCAATCCCTGTTGAGTGTCCCACTCTCCTGCAATGGGTCTCAGATCTTCATCAGCACCGGCCAAACTGGGGCCTACAGAATGTCAGCTCCAATGTGTGTTCTTTGGGAAGGATCTGCTCATGACGAAGTACTGTTTGAATTCTGCCACTTAGACAGCCACTTTCTCTTTCCACATAGCCCCAATTTGTTTGGCCCCCAAACTGATTTTGCAAAGAATACACAACACCGTCTCTTAGATCCAGTGTCTCCAGAAAAGCACATCGGGAGACAGGGAGCTATAGGCTGAACATGATAGGCCACCCTCCCCACAACTCAGCTTCTAAAGCAGAAACTGTTCTGCTTGCTGCTCTTCATCCTGCTGGGAACAGAGCGCTTCCTTTCCGCATGGCCTCCATGATTTCTTTAACTGGGAACACTCCCTCCCCATTCACTTAAACCATAGCCTTTCTCCAATGTCTGGTTCCAGTCTCTTCTGTGAATTCTCCCACAGCTCTCAGCTGAGATTACTGTAGCTCATTCACCTGTCTGAGAAAGCCAGGCTCTGTACAGGAAGAAACTCGTGTGCTATGAAGCTACAGAAATGGCAGGATTTTCTCACAAAATAGCTTCAAAAGTAATTTAAAGGTAGAATTACATGACATGAACACAATCTGTATTTTATAGAATGATCAGATCTTCAAGCAGAAGATTTAAGATCAATCAAAAATTTACCTTGAGAACGTAAATGAATATAACTACTATAGATAGACAACAATATGGACCATACTTAAAAATATAAAAAGAGAACTACCATATACCCGTATATGCCATTACCCAAAGGAAAGGAGGTCAGCACACATAAAAGAAGCCTGCATACCCACGTTTGTTAAACACTAATCACAATAACCAAGCTGTGGAATCAGCCTAGATACCCATCCACAGATGGACACATAAAGAAAATGTGGTCTATACACACAATGGAGTATGGTTCATCCATAAAGAACAATAAAATCATGTCATTTGTAGGAAGATGGATAGAAGTAGAGGTCACCATGTTAAGTGAAATAAGTCAGAAAGACAAGTAACCACATGCTTTCCCTCACACATACAAGGTAGGATAAGCCAAAAGGTGACCTCGAAGTACTAGAAACTACTAGGGAAGGTAAGGGGACCAGGGAAGAGGGAGGCAAGAGGGCGAGAGGGAAGTTAGGAGGGTAGATATAACTGAAGCATGATGGATGGTCACATCATAGTGAAATCCATTAGTATGTACAATTAGTATGTGTTAATAATTGTAAAAACAAAAAATCTACTATGCCTGACACTGAGAGCTGCTGTCTCATCAGAATTACTGGAGGAAGACCCTGGCAGGATTCCATGCCTTCATGCTCATTTGTTTAAAAAAAAAATTGTCAAGAGCCCGGTAGTGAAAACCATGACCAGAAGAAAACCAAACAGTGTATGGAAAAAGCAAAAGGCATCATGGAGTCCACAAAGACCACTTAAACTGGAAATGAGTTTTTCAGAGTTTCATTATGGTATTATTTTCTATATAATATAAATTGGCTTATTTACTTTAAAAGTACATGTCTGTGTGTTATTAAAGGAAATGGTTTGCTTCCCAACGGCAAGAAGATGCCCTGTGATGGGAATGCCAACTCAGAGGCTCACCAGGATTCAAAAGCAAATCAAAGGCCATGATTTAACACACACCTCCAGCTCTGGCTTAGGTGAGGAAGCCCAGGAGGAGATCTGAGGTCATTTTAGTGTTCCTACTCTGACTTGGGAATGGATAGGACTTACCCATGGGCTGCACCCAACTCCTGCCAACCACACATTTCTGATCCTACTGCCATCCACTCTTAGAAATTAATAAGAAGCAAGCTGAGCAGTGATCATCCTGGCTCTCACTGCTAGCCGGGAAGAACACTGGACCCTGAGGACCTTAGTGTGTCTGAAATCGCCTCGACTGTCTGCTTGTTTTTGGCTCAGCTCAGCCACTTGCCTGCTCACTCCAGCAATCCATTCCTTTCCCCTGTCTTCAAACTTTACCTATTTTTAATTTCGGGTCTCATCCTGACATAACCTCTTGCTGGCCTTATCCCCACAACATCTGGAGACTCCTTTGTTGTTCTGTGCCTTGGAGAATTTTCTGAAATGACAGAAAGCTCAGCCTCAACCTCATCTCCAACTTTATTTTCCACTCAGCTTTTTACTGCCATCGAACTGACTGGCTCTTGGGACCTTGGATGAACCATTCCATGAACACTCACAATTTTGTTCTCTCAAAGTCCTGCCCTGCAAGACCCACTCTAGGTTTCTTTCAAGAAGCTCTCTTTAACTTCTAGACTGTGACGATGACCTTACTCTGACCTAGGGTACCATTCTTCCTGTTTCCAGTGACACACAATAGGTCACACGAAACATCCACCCAGAGGATGCGTCCAAGGAGAAAGCCCTGACTTGGAGACTCACAGCATATATGGAGCCTGTTGTTTGTCAAACTTATTCAGCCATGGGAACACAGATGCAAGGACAGTGACACTTCCTGTGGTGATATTTTAATTGTGCTGAAATGTGATTTTATTTGTAAGTTAATAAATAAAGTTTGCCTGGAGATCAGAGGTCATAGCGAGCCAGGAACAGAAGTCAGGCGGTGGTAGCACATGCCCTTAATCCGATCACATGGCAGGCAGAGTCTCTAAGTGGTGACACAAGCCTTTAATCCTAGTACCAACCATAGAGACCTGGAGGTCTGTATAGACAGGCAGTGACGAGGAAGTCATGTGGCTGGGCTTAGAGCCAATGAGAAGGCAGAACAGGAAAGCAATAAAAGCGCAGGTTAGGCAGGAAGAAGCTCTCTCGTATGGGAAACTACAGCGTGGTGGTAAATTAAAGGGTAGTCAGTGGCCCTTCGCTAATTCTCTGATCTCTTCAGCTGTTACCCCTGTATTTGGCTCTGTGTTTCTTAAATTTACTAAGACTGTTTAGAATTTCGTCTACAACTTCCTACAAGTTTCTTCTCCATTTGGCTTAAACAGCAACAGTGAGGCAATTAAATTGAGCTTTGGACTTCCTCAACTCCTGTTGCTCTCCTTAAACTGTTCTATTCATGTTAAGTGGGATATAATGAGCAAGAAGGAGGTAGCTTACTACACAGCACACACCAGATTGAAAAGCTGGTAGAGTAGCTGGGGGATGGATCAGTGGGTAAGAGTGTATGCTAGTCAAACATGAAAATCTCAGTTCAAATCCCTAGGACCCATATAAGAAAGCCAGATATGACCAGGCGTGCCTGTAATCCCAGCACTGGGGAGCAGAGACTTGTGGGTCTTGGCAGCTCACTAGACAGCTGGTCCAGCTGAAGCAGTGAGTGTCAGGTTTGGTGAGCAACCTGTCTTAAGGGAATAAAGTAGAAAGCAATAGAGAAAGACACCTAATAATGTCCCCCTCTGGCATCTACGTGCACATGCATGAGGTGCACACTTACATATACATGAGGCACACTATATACACCACACACACAGACACACAGACACACACACACACAGCTGCTAGAAACTTCCTTCTCAAAAAGATTGACTATTTTTCTCTATGGTATGTATGTGTATGCTATTATATATATATATGTACATGTGCATACAGATGCCTGTGAGGCCAGAAGAGGGAATAGAATCTCCTGAGACTGGAGTCACAGCTAGTTGGGAACAAATCTGGGTCCTTTGAAAAATTGTATGTGCTCTTAACCACCTCTCCAGGTCCACTGCTTCTGTGTTGAGGCAGTAGGGCAGAGTGGTACCAAGTTTGGTCTATAGAATCAGTCCACTGTAGCTGGCACTAGATAACCTGTAAAATCAAGGACTGGATCTGCTCTGTTCATGGGTGCCTGGTGCACACAGTGCCTAGTACAGACCATATAACCAAGAACTGTTTATACTGAGTAGATTGTGGACAAAGTCATTTTCAATCCTGGGTGATTTTGTCTGCATGGGGACATCTAGCAGTGACTAAAGAGAGTTATGCTGGTCACAGGGGCCTCTAGTGGGTGAAAACAAGCATTTTCACACAAGACAAAGAATTATACATCTACAACATCAATGGTGCTGAGGTTGAGAAGTCCTGCTCTATAGTCAGACTACTCTGGGCTAAATTCCCAACTATGGACACCAGCTGTTTGGCCTTAAGCAAGCTATGAGACTTAAGGGCTCATTTCCTTATTTTTATATTGGGGCTTTAATGATGTCTTTCAGAGTTGTTGTCAGGTGATTTATACACAAATGACACGTCCTGGCAGTCCGTAGGAAGCGGGGACCGCCGTGACAGGTGCATAGGAAGTGTGACCTGCTGGCATTCTTGCCATCGCTCTTCACACAGTGTCTCATGCCAATCATGGCCCTGTTTCTCAGGGCTTGTCAGGCCCAGAATGGAGAACCTAGCGGAAGCAGCCCGGCATCCCCACTGGTGTTCACTAAATAGTCGGGTTTCACTCAGGTGCTCACCAGGGGCTCGATGGTGAAAATGTGATTCAGAAAGAGCATGCTGTCTCCTAGAACCAGCTTCCTCTGGTTCTCGAAGGTGCGAGAGAGAATTGAAAGGCGTTCTCGGAGAGAAGGATCCAAGATGCACTCTTCAAGAAACATGTCGGTTTCAAGCTTTTCCTCCTTGCTCAGATCATCACAGACCCTAAAGAAAATGAGGAAATGTAAAGGTCACCATGGGACTCCCATGAAGAATTGTGTACAAGTGCTCACCTCCAGTCTCCTCTCCTGGGAATATCCTCACATCTCCTGGGGTGGTCCTTCCTTGCCCTGAGTCTGCAATGCATGAGTAGGTGACCTTGTTTTGCCTTCTCAGAACTTGTGGGGACCAAGTTTAGTGATCTTTTGTCACCTCCTTCCAGAAGTCCTCTGGGATTTCTTTCCCTACCCAAATCCCTTCTGTTTACTTCTGAGACAGCATGTATCTGGACAAATATTTCCTTTTAGGTGATTGTGTTTTCCATGCTTATTTTTAAATTATTTAACATCTGCTCTGCCTCTCACATTGCAAGGATGATTTTGTTCCTGTTAAGCTTGCCTCGCTTTAATTCTTTCCCAGCTATTCGATATCTAGGGAATAGAATGTAGGAGCTGGCGAGGGCTGGGTTTAGACACTGATTTTACGATCTATTTCCTAGCTCTGAGACTTCTGGGAGCTTCCCAGTTCCTCTAAGCCTCAGTGCTTGTTCCCTAAAAAAACACAGAGATGATGGGAGCAGAGTTCCTAACCTAAGAAACGGGGTTTAAAGGTGACCCAGGCCCTGGTTCCATTCCCGGCACAGAGCGGGCGCTCCATCAGTGCCATCTGTCACACATTCGCATCTCTAAGATGCCAAGCTTGTAAGATGCTTGAGCCACACCCAAAGATGCTCCTTCACTCGCTCTCTAGTTCTCACTTTCTGCCATGGTCAGTGAGAGGACAGCCTCTTCCAACCCTCTCCTCCCTACCCTCACCTTTCTGAGTGACCTTTCACCTGGACTCTGCAGACTGGCCTGCACTCCCTCCACTCCATTACACACACACACACACACACACACACACACACACACACACACACACACACTTGCTCCTGTTCCCAGCACTGTACTGTTGTGACCCTGGTGACCGCGCATATGTAGCAAGTGAGTGCTGAGTGGACCCCTGAGGTCACCGAGTTCCTGTCTCATACAAACCAGAGGCTGCATTTTGTCAATGGGTCTTTTAAATAACTTCAGTGTTCCGAGCCCTTTGGCTATATAACACAAGGAAATCAAACAAATGGGTCCGGTGTATTCTGGATCCAAGCAAGAAAGCAGCCTATGCTTCCCTTGCACTGCTAGGTGGGAAGCAGTATCCAAGGTAACCAGTCCTCCCATGCCACCGGCCATATCGGCTCGGAAAGAAAGGAACCCAGTTCTTCTTTATTTTGCTAGTTGACAACTCTCTGAAAGGCTTACAAATCACACACCATCTGTGTGGTGGTGTGGACGAGAATGCCCCCCATAGGCTCACGTTTGAATGCTTGGTCCCTTGTTGGTGAAGCTGTTTGGGAAGGACTAGGAGGTGTGGCTGTGTTGGAGGAGGTGTGTCACTGGGGGCAGGCTTTGAGGTTTCAAAAGACTCATGTCATTTCCAGTGTGCTCTCTGCCTCCTGCTTGCAGTTTGAGATGTGAGCTCTCCTGCCTCCACACCTTCCCTCCACTATCATGAACTCTAACCCTCTGGAACTGTAGGCCGGTTAAAACTTTAATAAGTTGCCTTGTTTGTAGTGTTTTATTTCAGCAATAGAAAGTAACTAATAAAGTTTGAAACAAGAAACTCTACTTGCAGTAGGAAATTCTAAAACAACCATAGATGAAAATACAGATACAGTTATATTGACCTTTGAAGCATGGGGAAGAAAAGTGGGTAAATTATATGTAAGGGTTTTAGATACTCTGGATCTAGAGTTATAGATAGCAGTGAGCCGCCATGTGGATGCTGGGAACTAGACCCTGGTCCTCTGAAAGACCAGTGAGTGCACTTAACCACACTGACATCTCTCCAGTCCACTTTGCATGGTTTTTTGAAGATTAAAAAAAAAAATCAAGTTATGAAATATTCTATATAGAGAAACTCCATTTTTTTTAATTTTAAAAAAGTAAACAAAAAATACTCATTTGCAAAGGAATAAATTTACAGATACTAAATTATTTCTTAGATTTTTCTTTGGGTCATATGATTAGAACTGATTTTATCTTAATCAGAGATGCAATTTAAAAAAAAAACTGTACATCCACAACATGTTTCACTTAAATTAGAAAACAAGTCGAGTAAAAAATTCAGTGAGAATCAGTTCTCAGATTGAGCACTGTAGACTTTTTCATGGTAGCCTGAGATGCTAACACAGCACGAGGGAGCCCAGGGTCCCATCACTGAAGAGGCGTGGGGAAAGGATGGAGTGTAAGACGGAATGAAGGAGCCCAGGGTCCCATCACCGCAGAGGCATGGGGAAAGGATGGGGTGTAACACAGCACGAGGGAGCCCTGGGTTCCATCGCTGCAGAGGCGTGGGGAAAGGATGGGGTGTAACACAGCACGAGGGAGCCCAGGGTTCCATCGCTGCAGAGGCGTGGGGAAAGGGTGGGGTGTAACAGGGCATCTTGCAGCAGCCAGAGCAGTGAGTTAGATACACACAGTACCAGGAAGGGCCTTAAAACACAGAGCCTAGTTTAAAAAGAAAAAAGAAGAAAATACCTATTTCTGAAACAATATATATTTCATGAGAGTAGGTGCACATAAAAAGACATACATTAACATATTAGAATGGTGTCTCCCAGAGAGTTAGTTTATAGGAATGGGTATGGGACAGAAGAGAATAAATACAATGTCTTGTGTCTGTGAGGATGACGATGATGATTAGAAGGTTACAATGAACTCAACTCTTCCACTAGAAAATGAAACAACAATTCCCATATGCTTCTCCTTTTCTATGGACCCTGGATTAGTGGCAGCCAGTCCCAGGCAGAAGGAGGGAAGGGAGAGCCCAGATGTCCTTCTCTCTGTCCTTGAGGAAGAACTGGAAATGTAGATGAGAGTCTGCAGGGGACAGGTGCAACAACCCCGAGAGACACTGATGCCTACAGGGTGCTACTCAGCTGTGCATGGCTTCACCATCTTGACTTGTTGATAATAGTTTCTTGCCTCAGAGGTGCCTCAGTTTTATAGATGAGGAGACGTCTCATAAGGAAGCATTTTAAAACAGGCCATCCTTGTTTTTTCAGTAAGTATAGAATTTTACCCGCTTTACAGATGATCTGGTGGCTACTAACCCGTGGCCTTCAGACAGTAAGTAGAGACCAGCCCTTGCAGCATCCCATAAAAGGTAGTGTAATGATAAACAGTGCCAACTTGACGAGATGTAGAAATCCCCAGGACATGACCCTTTTGAGTATGTCTGGGAGGGATTATCTAGATTGGCTTAATTGGGAAGGAATACTCACCCTCGCTGTGGGTGGCACCAGTCCAAGGAGAAAGTGAGATGAACACAAGAATTAGTCACTATTTACCTCCTGACTGTGGATGCAAAGTGACCAGCTGCCTCCCACTTCTGCTTCCATGATTTCCCTGTCATGATGGGCTGTCCCCCGACTTGTGAGCCAAAGGAGACTCTTGCTCTCCGAGTCAGGTATTCTGTCGCAGTGAGACGCGTGACTGACAGAGTTGGTAAATGGGTGTTGAAGAGACTAAAAAGTAAGTGTCATGGCCTTCAGAGGTAGAAGAAACACTCCCAGGTCTGCCTAACACAGGAAAATGTAAATGGAGCCAACGGGGCCATCACCTTCAAATGGACTGTGTGACCCTAGACAGTGAGGGGCCCTGTGATAAATGCGGGTCTAGGGGCTCCTGGCCTGTTTACCAGGTGCCATTTAAATCTTCAGAGTTGTTTTTTTTTTTTTTTTAAGACACTGGGGAAGGAGCCCCCAAACATAACCGAAATCAAACTTATTACAGTAACCCAGGTGGCAGGCTCAAATATCAATTAAGTTTGAATTAACCAGAGAGATATATCATTTTGTACACCTGAATGCCGTGAAATAAATCCATGCTAACCACAGTGTAGGTTGTCCACTGAGGATGCTGTGAGGTCTTAAGCAAATGTAGAATTACAGCCACCTGCTCTTGAAACAATGACTGTGACCCTGCTGGAGATATTGGGAGCAAAAATCCGTAAAAGCCCACACTGAGTCTCAATACAGGGAACGTGAGGAGAATATGTCTGAAAGACTCTGGCAGAGTGAATCCAGCCAAACACGGCTGAGGAAGGCAGGCAGGAAGGATGCAGTTCTTTCTGAAGAGATTAATGTCTTTTCTAGCTCCAGAGAAACATCAAGAAATAGAACAAAAAGGTAATTTCTTAAAAGGGTCCTTAATGTCAGATTCTGAAGGTGTTTTTTTTGTTTGTTTTGAAAGCTCAGAACTTCTTCCTAGAGGAAGGACATCTTCATGGCCAGAACCTGAAGCCTGGGAATAGCCCCATGTTTCTATGCCCGGATACATGTCCCAAGGTTCTAACACTGTAAGACCGGTGGAGAGGAAGATCACCCTTCCCAGAACAGAAAAGGTAGGGGCTGAAATTCCTCCACTGGGAAAAGAGACAGCCATGTCTTGGCTCACCAAGATTTTGTGGGCAAGATACCATGATGGATGGAACAGGAGTTGAGGCCAAGTTTCAGTACTTGTAGATAAATGCCTCGGGATGAGATGGAAGCCTCTTTGCAAATAGACACTGGAGTTTCATTTTGTGAATTCACATTAACGCTCTATCTTAGGTCTTTGGGATGTTGAAAGGGGACATTTTAATCCCTGGAAATGTGTCTCTGTCCAAAGACAGGTTTTCTCTATGCCAAGCTCAGGACCAAGATCAACCCTTCTCTCTGCAGTTTAAACTAGAGATGCTGGTGGAGGGAGGGTAACTAAGCAAGAAGGTGCTGTCCTCATCAGGAGCAAGAGCATCACATATACAAAAGACCGGGTCAGGGACAACTGCATGGGCCTTGCTAGAGAACACAAGAGAGACATTGTCCTGCTGGTTAATGACCTTGCAACTGTTTGGGGGGGGGGGCATGGGCAGACCTCTGCTCTGTATGCTGCTCATGTGTGGCCTGGGGCACAACCTGAGAATGTGCAAAAGAGGGGACCACAACCATTGTCCTATGTACCACCATCCACACTCACTGGTTAGTGAGGCACACAGAGCCTTGTTTTGGAGAGAATAGCTGGCAGTTATTTCAGAGACAAGAGCCCAAGGTGAAAATAATCTTATGAAAGTTGAGGCATGCTTGGGAATGCATCAAAGAACAAGAAAGGGAGAAGAGCCCACTGTTGGTCAAGTTAAAGATCAGCCATGATGTGACTTGCTTAGAGGAGGGAAAGAAGGCCAGGCAGCAGTCAGTAGACTCTTTGCTTAGATAAATCAGTCTATCTGAGGGACACACAAGTTCCATTGATATATGTCACCCAAAGAGAAAGTGAAGATAATCCTAGTTAGAGATCTAAAGCCGCTTTTCAAGTTCGTGGTTTAAAAACTGGGCATGACCCTAAATGACCCTGTGAACAGGGCTGTGATAACTGTGATATGCAGATATCACTATGGAGAGCTAACTGATTCTCCTAGCCATATACCTAGAAGTGGTATAGACAGACAATATGGATGAGTAAAAGTGGTATTATTGCATAGTAAAGCCTCATCCAGTCATAAAAGAAGAATGCAATTACGACATCTGCAGGAACACAGCTGGATGGAGAGCATCACATTAAGTGAAATATATCAGCCCCACAAATGCAAGTATTGCACATTTTCTCTTATATGCGGAAGCTGGGCAAAGGAAAATAAAAGGCATGAAACCAGAATGGGGACCACTGGGATGTGGAAAAGAGAGAACAGGAAAACATAAGCTCAGTAGAGGGTGAATACGATCATAGTTCACTATGTACACATCGGAAATGGAAGTGTCTAAGAAAACTTACTTTATACAATAGACACAGTGAAAAGAGGGATTGGGGCTGGGGAGATGGCTCAGTTGATAAAGCGCTGTCAGGGAAACATGAGATCTGGTGCTCATTTCCTCAGAACTCATATAAAGCTGGGCACAGGATACATGTGATAATCTCAGCACTGGGAGTGTGTAAATGGGAGAATCCCTGGGGACTACTGGCCAGTCCAGCCAAGTCCAAGTGCTCCAGGTTCCATGAAAGACCCCATTTCAAAAAATAAGGTATAGAGTGACTGGGAAAGTTGACCAACATCAACCTCTGATGTCTACATGTGCATGTACACACTCAAGTGTGAGCGTGTATGCACACACACACATGCACATATGCACACACACACTCATGCACACACATATGCAAGCTTGTGTACATGCACACGCATGCACAGACATACACATACACACAAACACACACACACACACACACACACACACACACACACACACACACACAGGGCCAGGAATATAGCTCAGTTGTTAGAGTGCTTCCAAGCATGTACAAAGCCCTGAGTTGAATATCAGTACTTGATAAGACCAGGCAAAGTAGTATATACCTGTAAACCCTTCTAAGAGGCAGGAGGATTAGGAATTCTAGGTCATCCCTGACTACTCAGTGAGTTTGAGGCCAGCCTGGGATACATAAGGTCTAGTGTCAAAACAAAACAACAAAAATCCAACCAGCCAAACAAATAAAACAGGTAAACAAACAAACAAACAAAAAACAATATTGATAAGCTAAGTCTGTGAGTGTCAGGGGAAGCGAGGTGGAGACAGAACTTGTGTCTGAAGGTCTATTCTGGATGGTCTGGCACCTTCCACACCTGCTGTTTCCTCCCTCCCTCCCTCCCTCCCTTCCTCCCTCCCTCCCTTTCTCTTTTCTTTTTAACTTTAACTGTTAAAATTAACTTCTAGATACTTTTTGGACACTGGCCTGGTACTAGTGCCGTGCTATAACCACAGGCAGCATGTGGAGAAACAGTTGAAATTAAAGCTGCGTTCTCTCCTCCTCTCTGAAAGGCTCTCCCAGGAGGGCAGCTGGGCTGCTGGAACTCTCCTTTCACCTCCTCTGTCCCCACTGACTCCAGCTTTACATGTGCTTGGGCCTGTCCACTGCCTGCTCAGCACACACCTTCAGCTGCAGAGTCAGGGCAAATGGGGCGAGGGAGAGGCTGCTCCCCCTGCATGTTTACATGCTGCATTTCCTTTTAAAAATTTCCCATTTCTGTTAGCATTTATTAACTGTACACATGTTTCATACAGTTATATAATATTAATAATTAAAGGAAAAAAGCACATCACGGGCATTCTATGTTTCATACAGTTACATAATATTAATAATTAAGGAAGAAAAGCACATCATTGGCATTTCTAAACCCTGAGGTCCAGTGACGTCTGTAGTCAGGAAAGGCTTTTCTTTGCACAGGGGTGACCCTGTGATTAAAGCTCATTGCCTGGACGGCTGAGCTTCTGCCCACTGTGTCCCATCATTGTCCTGGATCCTTCTGATTCAATTAGGGACAGTGCACCAGGGGACTTCTGCCTGCTCCCCAGGGACCCAAGACTTTTATTTTTATTCCACACTGACTCGGGTTTAAACAAAGCCTGCCGCTTCCCGGGGCTAATCCTTCATGGAAATGGAGAGGCAGAGACCGAAGTAAATGCAATGAAAGCAGCCAGAGTGTTAATTCAGAGGGACCCGAAGGAGAGAAAGCGAACTCAGCTTCAGACAGGCAAGGATGGGGTCATCCAAAGAAACATCCAGAACATAACCACGAGGCAGGGAGCTAAAGTCAGCTGGTTTTACATTTGTCTAATCTCTGCTGCTATTTGAATTATCATTTTTTTCTAAAGCAGACTATTAAAGAGCCCACTAAGAAATCATTTATTAAATTACATGCAGACTAGGCAGTGTTGTGAAAGCCAAGAATATGAAAATCATTACATCTAAACCCTTCTTTTCCTTCATTCTTCCTATTTTCTGGAAACTTCTTTTCACAAAGGGAAAAATAAAGGAAAAGAAAAAAGTGACATTGATGCCAGTTCAAAAAGGATTATTTTGGGGACTCCCTGTAAGAACTGATAAATTTGGTCAAGGCTTTGAAAAGTAACACACACATGTAGATTAGTGCTTAAAAAACAGGAAAGAATGGCATATTTTTTGATTAATTAAATCTTAGTTATTGCTACACTATAACCAGGTTAAGTTTAACTGAGCATTTGATGTTACAAAGCTCCCAAAGAGCACCCCACACTGGAGCCAGTTTCTCAAGGTTGGACCTTGTGGTGGTTAAGAATTTACTATAAAAAACAGGGCTTCCTGTCCCTCCCCCTACTTCACCTGGATTGACCCCACTGCACCCCTGCACTGCTGCATAGAGTTGGTTTCTGTTACAAACCTGTATTTTTCTCTGTCCTCCTCTTCTTGGGTAGCAAATATCTTCCACTGGAAATGGGCAATGATATTAGAGCGATTATGAATGGTTATCGTCCGTTGGTTGGCCAGAGATATGTAGGTCTTCTCCATGATCACGGAATTCTTGTCCAGTCTTATATTCACATCTATGGCAGCTCCATAGAGACCTACAAATACCATTTCACCTAGGAATGAACAAGGTAGAAACACACGTTAAGATTTATTCTAGGATAGAGAGCTGGCTCACTTGATAAAGTACTCTCCATGCAAGCATGAAGGCCTGAGTTCAATACAGAACCCCCACAAAAAGCCAAGCATATGCCCAGAACCCCGGTGCCGGACAAGAGGAGACAGATGGATTCCTGAGGTTCACTGGCCAGCCAGTCTAGCCAAAGGTGAGACCCTGTCTCAAAAAATAAGGTGGGTTGAGGAGGACACCTGATACCGGTCTCTGGCCTGCACAGGCATGCGCGCGCGCGCGCGCGCGCACACACACACACACACACACACACACACACAAGACTATTTCTAGAGTGATCCTTCCAGCCTTGATTCAAAAAAATTAAGAAGAGGTTAAGGAATGTAAAACATATTTCATTCTCCCTAAGTTCATCAATCCAGAGTCAGACATGATCAGAAGATTTAATTATTGCCCTTTGTTGAAGTTACTGGAAATCAAACTATCTCTTTCAGTCATTTTAAGAAATATAAACTACATAAAATATGAACTGTTATGGAAGGTTATCTGAGGATTTTCTTCTTCATAAATACTTTTGGGACTTACAGACTACCCAGGAGAACCATGAGCTTCAGAATTATAAACACCTGCCTGATCTTTAGCTCCAGCATGATCTAGTTTCTGGTTCTAAAGTCAAATATATCACCATGGGACTTAGGTCCTCACAGCGTTCAGAAAATAGATTCAGTTAAGTTAGAAATTGGAAAGTGACTGAACAGTATCACATAGCCAAACAACACACACAGTGCTCTGCTGGAGTAGCATATCCATAGAAAGAAAACAAAAATAAACACCATGAGATAATCTTTAAAGGAATATCAGGAACATCTTTTCTTAGCAAAGCGCAGTGGCAGATTCAAGTGCTGCAGATTCACAGAAGTCACTGTGAATTCAAGAAGGCACAGCTCAAGAATTATATTCTGTTCAACTCTGCAACACTACATCACTCTATTATAAAACAGAGAAAGGGCCTGGAGGGATGGCTCAGGAGATAAGATCACTGGGTGCTTTCCCAGAGGACCCGGGTTTGATTCCCAGCACCCACCTGGTGGTGCACAACCAGCTCCAGTTCTAGGGAATATGACCCCCTTCTTATGGCCTCTGTGGGCATCAGACATACACATAGTGCACAGACACAGATGCAGAAACACACACACACACACACACACACACACACACACACACACACACACAGAGTAATTTTAAAAAACAGAAAGGATATGTTTAAATACTATGTATAATTTATGGATCTATGTTGTACAAGTTTTAACTAGAATCCAGAAAGCATAATTACTCATCCTATATTTTACAGCAAACATTTTTTCTTTATTAACAATAGAAAGAAAATGCCCCCCAAAGGGAGTAGCACTATTAGGAAGTATGGCCTTGTTGGAGAAGGTGTGGTCTTGTTGGAGGAAATGTGTCACTGTGAAGGTGGGCTTTGAGGTCTCATAGATGCTCAAGATACCACCTAGTGTCTCAGTTCACTTCCTGCTGCCTGCAAGATGTAGAACTCTTAGCTCCATGTCTGTCTGCATGCCACCATGTCCTACCATGATAATGGACTGAACCTCTGACCTGTAAGCAAGCCACCCCAATTAAATATCTTCCTTTATAAGAATTGCTGTGATCATGGTATCTCTTCACAACAATAGAAACCCTAGCTAAGAAAACAGCATATGAGCCAAACAACCACCTTAGTAGATCAATAACTCAGGTTCTGATGATAGATAATCAAATTGTAAGCACTATAAAAGCATGCACAAGGAAACTAAAATGTCTCACTCTCCCCTACTCAAGCCTAGGCCTGCAGTTTAGAGGCAAGAAGTGCCAAGTGCCAATGTTTCCATGGCCATCCTTCAGGAAAACTTTCAGACTTTCTAAGGAGTGGAAGTTTTTTTTTTAATTGAAAATAGATTCTTCTCTCATACAATACATCCCAACCACAGTTTTCCCTCCCTCCACCCCTCCCACGCCCTCCATCTCCCTTCTCCCCCCCCATCCACTTCCCTCTGTTTCCCTTCAGAAAAGAGCAGGCCTCCAAGAAACAACAACCAAACATGACAAAACAAAATACAATAACAAGAGGCTGGAAATATGGCCCAGTGGTTAAGAGCACTGGCTGCTTGCTCTTCCAGAGGACCCAGGTTCAACTCCTAGCACCCACATGGCAGCTCGCAACTGTCTGTAACTCCAGTTCCAGGGAATCTGTTACCCTCACACCAATGCACATAAAATTAAATAAAGTTTTTTTTTTGTTTGTTAAAAAAAAGGTACAATAACACAAGGCAAAAGCCCTCATATAATGTCTGGACTAAACAACCTAATAGGAGGAAAGGGGTCCCAAGAGCAGGAAAAAGAGTCAGAGATATACCCACTCTCATTGTTAGGAGTCCCACAAAAACACCAAGCTAACAGCAATAACATATATGCAGAAGAGCTGGTTCAGACAGATGCAGGCCCCATGCATGCCATTTTAGTCTGTGGAGTGAAATTTAATAATTGGTGAAAGCTCACTGTTCTTCTCATTTGCATATTCTTAATTATGGTTGACATTGAGTTCTATTATATAAGTTAATAAATAGACAAGATAAAAAGAAGACCTTTGCTATAAATTCTGGTACTAAAAGAATTATGCCTCCAAGGTGATGGTGAACTGGAAGGAGACTGGCCCTAGTTTACTGCCAGAAAGCTTGCTGAAATTGCCTACATCTTACAGAACACTTCAAGCTTTGAGTTTATGTCATTCACTGATTCTGACCTGAGATAATGGAAAGAAACAACTCATTCTCCTTTATAGGAAGGCATCCACATCCAAAATTTCAAATTTTCCAACAGCACACAGCCAAATATAATGGCTTACAAAGAACTGCAACTCAATGTGTTAGAACTAGGAACATATGAAAAACAGAAGATACCAGGTACCAACAGATAGAGTCCATACACCAATTACATTTAGCTTGTTCATAGAAACCAATGGATGATCTTGAAGCTATACCCAGAGAATAGGCGACTGAAAAAGGATCTAAAACATGGAGAATAGTCAAACTCTTAGACTTACAGAGAAAAAATAAAATAAAATGGCCTAAATTAAAAAAAAAAAAAGACTGCAAAGGAGAAAAAAAAAACTTTAAGAGATATCTATAGTAAGAGAATTTTAGTTTTTAATCAAAGAAATTAGTGAAATGAAAAATGGTTCATAAAACATAAAAGGTAGCATGAGGAAATAACACGAATATAGGGGTCTCATGAGGACCTCATGATAGCAATGTTTATGTCTAGTCAAGATGATACTTCAAGAGATGATGGCTAAGAATTTTCTGGAATTAAAGACATCAGTTCATAGCTCAAAAAAACCCAGGGAATTCAAGTGGGGTAGACTGAAGAAAATGTATACCTACATAAATAACAGTGAAACAGAGGGAATCAAAGGCAAAATCCTGAAAGCAGAAAGAGACAAGACATTGTTTTCAATGGACCCACAGATAGAATTATAGCTGATGCATTAACTGAAACAGTGGAGACTAAAAGACTATGGAATGCTATCTTCAGCCTGACAACGCGGGAAATTTGACAACCAAGGAGTCTATAGAATTTTTTCAGTTTTTTAATTTTTGTCTGAAAATGTCATTATTTTGTTTTGACTTTTCAAGGACACTGGAAAGCTAAAATACCCCTTCAGTTTAACCCTGTTTTCCTTCAGTGCTTTAATGATGCCATTCTGCATCTTCTAGCTTCCCTAGCATCAGTTAAAGAGTTTGCCACCAGGGTTGTGAGCATTCCTCTTAAGGCCAACTGTCTTTTTTTCTACTTTTCCCCCCCTGGATTCTTTTATAATGATCTCTTTGCTTTTAAACAATAGTATGCCCACATTTGGTTTTCTTTCTTTGTATGAAAGATGTGCTGAGCTTCATGAATACATGGATGAATATAACTGAGTAATTTTTAAAAAAAAATCCTTAGACAATATATCTTAAAACACTTTAAAAATTTTCATTCACCTTCTCTACTTCTGAGGCTCTAGTTTTATACATGCTGATCTTTTACTATGCCCTGTGTGGTTTTGCTTTGTTATTTTTCTCAAATACTGCTGTATTTTTTTCTGTGTCTCATTTTGAGCATCTTTGATTGATCTATATGCTGTGGGATGGTCCTTCTGTATGCTGCGAATATGTGTTGCTCTCATTGGTTGATAATAAAGCTGTTTTGGCCAATAGCTAGGCAGGATAAGGTTAGGCAGAAAAACCAAACTAAAGAGGGGATGAAGAAGAGCGGAGTCAGGAGAGTAGCGAGCCAGATGGAAAATGAGTTAGACATACAAAAATGGGATAGAGGCAAAGGCTAGGAGCCTTGGGACAGTACATAGATTAATAGAAGTGGGTTAAGTTATAAGAGCTAATTAGTAATAAGCCTGAGCTAACAGCCAAGCATTTATAATTAATATAAGCCTCTGAGTGGTTATTTGGAAATAGCTGCAGGATGGGGTGGGACAGAGAAAAGCCTCCATTTACACCTATATTTAGGTTCATGAATCCTATCTGTTATCTATTGTTGGCAGAGGAGATTTCAAGACAGCTTAATATTGACTCTGCCACGTGGTTATTAGTAATCATTCCTATTCAGGTCTTCAATTAAAAGAGCAAGTGGGGCAGAAGAAATACAAATGTACCATTTAAGGAGAAAAAGAACACCAGGAATGTAGCATGAATCTTAACAGTTCTTATTAATAAAATCAAACCTGTGGCCAGTTATTGGGGTGAACACTGGAAGATCAGAGAGCCAGAACAAGCCACAGCTATCTCACCTTGCTAAATCCTCAGCTGGTCTTGCTTCCTCAGACTGGAGGCCTCTGAGTCCTCATCCAGAATGGGTCTCAGCTGAACTGCTGCTCGAAAGCCTGAATGCTTAACTAGCCAAATGCTTAACCAGGCCAAACGCTTAACCAGC